CTCAGTTGCTCACTATGCGATCCAGTGGTTACTACCCCCTGGTAAATTTCAGCGTGAAGATGTTTTCGCGCGCAAATGCTGGAAACAAGTCCAATATCTTGCAGATCATTTTTAGCAGCGATGGCAAAAAGAGTATTTAGCTTTGTTGCAAGAACGTAAGAAGTGGAGTAAACCCCAATATAATTTAGATGTTAATGATATTGTTTTGATTGTCGATGAAAATATTGTAAGAAATCAGTGGTCTATGGGTCGAGTAACAGAAATTGTCTCAGATGCAAAAGGTTTAGTTCGCAGTGCATATGTTAAAACTAAATCAGGTATTTTACGTAGACCAATTTCTAAATTAATCTTATTAATGTCACTATAATTAATGAATAGGTTAAGTTATTGATATTTCTATATTAGTTATTGTTCTGCCTTGTTGTTAGTTAAACAAATTATTGTTTAAGGGGCCGGAATGTTACGGCAGAAATATTAGTACAACGCTTGTATTAAGAGTAACGCATTAAACGAAGTAAGCCCTAGAACTGTAAGTTGCACTATGATCAACGTAACGAACCGCCTTATTAAAAAACGCCGCCATTGTTTTATATTTCATAGAATTCTATTGATCATTAATTAACGCATTAACCCCCTCACAAGTTGTAAGTGTAAAGTAATAATGCTTTAAATACAACGTTAACGAACATATGAATTAACGGCAATATAATTCCTGACATGGCATTTAAGCAATTTCATATTTTAAGACATTTATGCACTAAGCCTCCCCACGTGCATTGAATTCATCATAGTGACTGTTGTGGTAAATCTTTTACTGATATTAAAGAATATGTATTTTTGTCTTTACAGCTAAACCACGTCTTTTCACATCGTTTTATATACCCATATTGCTTAACGACATACTGTATAATCATCTAACGCATCAAACGAATTATTTGTGAACTGTGTGTGTGGAATGTGAGGTGTCGTAATAAAACGTAAAAATAGTAACTGAATTGTTTCTCCTTAATTCATGAAAGGAACGAACGTCCCGCCCACAGTGGGTGATGCCTTGCTGCATCATAAAGTTTGTTTGAACAAAATTGTAATAGATTCGCTTCTATCCATACCATTTCCTTATATTATACATTATCAAACGTAGCTATGCCTACAATAACCCGATTTAAAGGGACAGTCTAAACTGTGTTTAGAAACAATACTGAAAACTGGTCATATTCTATATCAACATGAATACAAAAATTCCAGAGCACACTGTAAACAGACGGGCCGACTCCCGTAATTCAGTTGCCATCTGTTTCCATGTTAAATCACGAAATTCAACCTTCTATAACTTTTTCCATGAATCTCGACTAAAACTTTCCAATATGTCACATTAAAGCCTGGACAATACTTAGTTCCTTGACAAAAATTCAATATATCAAGAGAAAAAAGTACGTAAAGTAAAGTATAAGGAGAAATTTATCTAACACAAAAATCATGAATCTTGAGCTAGCCAAACTGAAAGTAGACCATTACATTTTATCAATATTTGCTTGGAAGTCACTGCACACAAAACAGCCTTTTTTAGAATTATCCTTCGCATGAAAATCTCTCATCATCTCGCAGAATCTGAAAGAAAGTACAATTTCAGACATAACAAATCTAGACCTAAAATTACGCATGCAAAAATCCCAAAAGGGGGGAAGAAAAGGGATTTCTAAAAATAGCACGGACTAAAGGATTTCTAAAAATAACATTAATTACCATAATACACGTAGTACAGTCATTAGCATGTTTTACTGGGTCGGTTCACACGACTAGAAAATTCGGATTTGATATTGAATTTTTGTCCAGAGTCATGTTGAACCACTGTGGAAAAACCGTTTGTAAGCAAAATTATTATGATTTAGAACATTTGATCTGTAATTGTAAAGTCTCAAGCCATTTATTTCAAAAACAAAACTACTTAAAAATATTCCAAAATGGTAAAGTTAGGCATCATAGGGTCGTCAAAAAGTGGGCATGACAGATGAAAAGTTTTCCATTTCTTGTTGAATGCAGCCTGTTACCTGAGAACATAACTTAGTCATTTATGAAGATAACTTCTTGAACTTGAAATGGAAAGAGATTGATATCTGGGAAAAGATTGATATCTGGGAAGAGATTGATATCTGCCCTCTTTGATAATGTTTTCAGAATTAAAATACGTTTATTAGTCTCTGAGATATTATGCCATGAATATGATAGATATTGGCGAAATGTGACCTGCAATTTCGTGTTCTACTTTCACTTTCAAATTATTAGTAATGTGATCTTTCCTAGAATATACTTGACGCGTGTAACAGAAAATGAAACTAAGAGGTCGCAATAAAAATAGTTTTATTACTTAGCTTTAATCGAAAATTTTACAAATTTCGTGTTAATAGGCGATATAGATATTCATCAAAATACTTTATGATTCTCGCTCATTTGTTATTGAATTATACGCCCACATAAAATGTTAATTGGCATCATCCAATACTTTCCGTCCATAATTGCTCGTAAAGACACGATCATTCTTTTAACTCAACTTAGTGAAATAAATCATTATCACCCTATCCAAAATAAAATATAAATCGAAAACATTTTATATGAGTTATTGCCCTTGTCCTTAAAAACTGGTTTAATTTCTATTTCGTAAACCCTCTAGAAGGCACAATTCTTAATGGATTTTGACGTAACTTATTATATACTAATAGTAATATTGTTCATACTGAATCGAGACGGAACTCTATAAAATCAAAAAATATTTAATGAGTGCAAACGACGGACGGTTGTCAAAATGATTCTTAAAATATTTTTATTCAACGCACACGACAGAATCAAAACAATTGTTAACGAAACATTTGTACAAAATTGAAACTTAAAACAATATCTTTTACTGACGCACACGACAGACTTTTGTTACGAAACAATGTTTTGCGGACAAAGGCCCGTCGTGTGCGTTCCGCTTTACTATCCTTGTTTTTCGAAATAGGTTTGTCTAGTCTGTTAACTTTTTAGAGCACAAAATACGTGACAGATTTAAATGAAATTATTAGTTCTAACTTAAATTAATACTACCTATTAAAATGGACATAAAATTTAAAGTTTCAAACTTGGTCAACAAGAGTATATTGTTATCATTTGGACTTACCAGGTACCATGACTAGAGAATAGAATCTCTATATAATACGATATATCCATTTTGCATGCAATATTTTTTCTCTAGGTTTATGTTTTGTGAAAATGGACGAGGATGATCACTATGTTGAATCTGGCCTGTCTTCAAAACGAAGTATGAGTAACAAGGAAAGATGTCCTGTTCAACCAGCACTCCAAGATCCATGCACGGAAGCCTTCGAAAATGTGGATAAGGGAGTCAATTCTAATCAAGGGCCGGAAAATGGATCAGCTGGGGAATTCTTGACCAAGTTTGTGAAGAATGATGCCAAGTTTTTGGAAGGGGTAGCAGGAGTAAATATGGTCACCTCTCAACCTAAGTTAAGCCAAATTCAACGCAAGTGTCAAGAAATGGCTGGATGGGAGAAAGGGGGATTTCCGGGTTCCGCGCCTGTGACTATGGTCATTCAAAACCTAAATTTCCTCCGTCAAAAACCATATAAAGTGGAATTGAAAGCTGACGGGACACGGTATATGACATTAATTGATGGGAGGGGCGAAGTATACATGATTGACAGAGACAACACTGTTTTTCAAGTGGCTAATTTAGATTTCCCGAAACGTAAAGATTTATCTGCCCATATACGCGATACCTTGATGGATGGAGAAATGATTTTAGATATGGTGGATGGAAAATCTGTTCCACGTTATCTTATTTATGATATTCTCCGATTTGAAGGACAGGAAGTGGGAAAAACTAATTTAGATCAAAGATCATTTTGTATTCAAAAAGAAATCATTGGTCCTCGACGTGCCAAGATGCAACAAGGAATGCTGGATAAGAACGTATCCTTCAGTGTACATTGTAATTCATTCTGGGAACTTACGAAATCCAAAGAACTTTTAGAAGGAAAAATTACCAACGAAATCAGTCATGAAGTAGCTAGACGTTTAAAACAACCGTGATGAGAGTGATCAAGTCAAAAATTCAAGTCGAAACTTAAATGACTCTCAATAGACAAATAGTCTTTTTTGATGAAAAAAAAAAATGTTTTTGGCAGGGGGATGTTAGAATCTAAGTTGGTTAATTCAGTCCGGCGATAATTGTTAATTATTCCATTCTTATTTATAACTGTATTTTATCTTACAGATGACTAAAGAACTACGTCAGTTAGACAATAAAATAATAGAGTGCATGTGGGATGGGAAGTACTGGAAATATATGCGACAAAGAACTGACAAGTCCTTTCCTAATAATTTAGAGACAGCCGAAGATGTTTGTGAAAGTATAAGAAATCCTGTCACACAGGAGATGCTCTTACAAACCATCAGAAATGAAAGATGGATACCAAGTACTGGTGATGATGATATAAAGCCAACTCCACCACCAAACATATCAGAACATTAAATATTGCTTTATCATATGATAGAGAAAAATCCAAAATGTAGTCTACTTAGCAAAATAAAAACCTTATCTACATGTTATTTACGATTTGTTGTGGAATGCCCAGTGCAAGTACTTTACAGTCTATATGTTAAATCATGTCTATAAATGAAATATCTCTTTCTGTTTCGCATATTTTGAACAAAATTATAATGTATTCGCTTCTATCCATACCATTTCGGTATATTATACATTATCAAACGTAGCTATGCCTACAATAACCAGATTTAAAGGGACAGTCTAAGGAAAACTGTTTGAAAACTGGTGTTAATCAATATTGACATGGATACAAAAATTCCAGAACACACTGTCTAGGTTATAAGGGAACAGTTCGCCACCTCAGTCTCAAATCTGTCGAAATTTCAAATCCATGTGTGTTCAGAATTATCTGAGTTTGAAAGTTTCTTGGGATTCTGTAGAAAAGACATAGAAGTAGAAAATGAAATTCTTAGTTTGGGATATTTGTGAAGGAATTATGCGATTTTTGTGTATTTCTAGAAATTCTGAAGATTTTTTACATAATATATTCAAGAATCAAATCAATCTCCTCAAGTGGTGAATCTGTACAAAAAGTAGGCTAATCGTTAATAAGGAATGATACAATAAAACTTTTATTAGTTTATTCATTGGATTAACCACTTATAATTCTTGAAATCTACTGAAGTATTTTGTAAATTGAAAGGTTTCAAGTCATATAAAACGCTTTACATTTGTAATAATGGTTACTGAATAACCTTGTTCAAGATGTACAGAATATTGTTCTTTGAGGCCCCTTGTGCTACAGGCTGTGCACGTTAAAGCAAGGCTCTACTACACAATTTCCCTACGATTGTGTTACGACACGCCAAAACATCACAGAGCAGATATTTTGAATCGTATCGAAGAGTATCGTACTATCCATTCCTCACGACATCTTACGAAATGTTGCAAGCCAATTTGTGTCATCAACATAGACAAAAATGGATTTTTCGGTTGAGGATGAAGCCTTGGTGATATGCTTGGGGTTTTTTTGATTATCCGTGCACGTAGGCCAAAGAAACGGATTCGGATATCTCTAGATGTCTCATTCGAAAGTGTGCACCTCGCCGTATTCCAGGAATTTTTTGACAAAATTTTCCAATTTCTGCAGAAGCAGAAAACCAACCTTAGGTCATACATCCCCTTATATCATGCCTTTCTCAATACGGTTATAAGCCTATATATTCATTTGGAAATAATTGTTCATATTATCTACCAGGGGTAGAAAAAAAATGATTGAAACCACCCCTTGAAAAAAATGCCACAAAAAAACGTCCGATTACTCATATCATCACTGCACACTATAACTAAACATCTCACGGCGAAATCATCGAGCACACGACTGTGAGTGTAGAGTAGGGGTCTAGTCTGAGGTTGGTATCCACCTTTATTGAGTAGCAAAAAAATCAGTCGTAAATTATTTTCATTGTGCTCACAAAGAGACAGATCTAGCACGCATAATAATTTCGTCAGTATTAAAACAATAGCAATAGTTTCGTGTTTAGGGGTAAAAAGGCCAATACGAAGTAATAAGGACACTTAAAGTAAATATAATAAATAGAAGTAATACCAAACCAAAACGATTATATTTTAGACCTAAAAAACATATGTTTCCGAAGCAATCAAAGCAATTGCGGTATGAATATTCAAGTATTTCCCCTACTTAATTGATTGTCTAGATTGTTCAAAAACCAAAATATAAACTTCCAAATGGATTTTGACAGTCTTTCGATCTGTGTTTTGCAAGCTAAATGAGCTTTACAAAATGTAATGTGTATAATACTACACAGTTTACATACAGGGGTGATTTGAATTCTATTAACAATATTGGTATTAAAGTTAATGTATTAATCGTTTTTTTTTATTCGAAAAAGTGATAGTAACAGTTTGATGATCCAGGACATCTTAGTTGAATATTTCACCCCTTCCTGCAATCGACCACCCCCACCTCCCCATTGTCCCTCCGAATATATCATATACTCCCTTCCCGGCGAACAATTACGTCTGGCTACGGGCCTGAGCACACCCCCTTCCTTGTACTACAAGAAACAGAGAACGGGCGCTAAAAACTTATGTCATTTTTAGTAACTGGACTCGAGGTGCCTAGTTTCTTACACCAATGATACTGGCACCGCCGTGAAATATTCATGAATACAATGTAAAACATCGAGCTTATAAGTACATAATCTTGAAAAAGCTAATTAGTTCCAATCGATCAATCAATATATCATTTTTTCTAGGTCACACCTGTTTCAGCCAATGAGATTGGTCTAAGTCGTCAAAGCACATGCGTGATACTTACAAGGCCACGATTTCGTTATAACTTTGGACAGAACTCTACGCTACAACAAGATACCTTAAGTGCCCACAATCGCGTGCTTTGTCGTGTCGTACACGCCCTCACACTACATGGCATCGTGTCGTAGCGTGAGTTAGTGCATGACATCTAAACGAAATCGCACATTGTGAGGCCTTTTTTAAGATCCCTCGACAGATGGAAATAGCAAAAGAGCAGGCTAATGCCGCCATCCTAGCAAAATTTCCCTCATTGCACCCTGCATTGCGCTGCCCATCTTTTTTAGCCCACATGGTGCAGAAAGTATGACGTAAAATTCGTTTCATTTTTTATAATTTCGTTTGTCATTGTACCTACTGGTCGATTTGACATAGTCGTTGACCGATTTGTCTCATAGGAAAAGATAACTCTTTCTGAGAGCAGACGACTAGAAAATTCGGCATTAGATTAATATTGAATTTTTGGTGGAGGAACCCAGTTGAACCACTGTGAAAAACCGTTTGTAAGCAAAATTATTATGATTTAGAACACTTTATCTGTAATTGTAAAGTCTCAAGCAATTCATCTTAAAAAACAGAACTAAATAATATTTATAGATGAAAAAGTTGTGCATCTATTATTAGTAATTAGGTCGTCAAAAGTGAGCGTGGCAGGTGAAAAGCTTTCAATTTCTTGTTGAATGCAGCCTGTTACTGAGAACATAACTTAGTCATCCTGGACGCCATTACTAAAGCGGAAGTTAACAGAGCTACGCTGCTACAATAAATGCGCTGATTACCATAATCAAATTTGATTTGATACAGGACAAATGGTTTTTAGACCAAATCGAATCAGATTAACCCAGGATAAATTCTACTTAGTACCGTAATGTAGTGATCAGGTCTTTGCCTTGCAGTTTTCTTTATTATATTATTCATAATTCCTGACCAAAATTGCAATATCTTCCAAGCAATATTTTTTTTCTCCAGGGTTATATTTTTTAACTGAAAATGGACGAGGGTGATCACTTTGTGGAATCTGACCTGTCTTCAAAACGAAGTATGAGTAACAAGGAAAGATGTCCTGTTCAACCAGCACTTCCAGATCAATGCACGGAGGCCGTCGAAATTGTGGATAAGGACGCCAATTCTAATCAAGGACCGGAAAATGGATCAGCTGGGGAATTCCTGAGTGAATTTGTGAAGAAAGATGCCAAGTTTTTGGAAGGGGTAGCAGGAGTTAATATGGTCACCTCTCAACCAAAATTAGGTCAAATTCAACGGAAGTGTCAAGAAATGGCTGGATGGGAGAAAGGGGGATTTCCAGGTTCCGCGCCTGTGTCTATGGACATTCGAAACCTAAATTTCCTCCGTCAAAATCCATATAAAGTGGGGTTAAAAACTGACGGGACACGGTATATGACATTAATTGATGGGAGGGGCGAAGTATACATGATTGACAGAGACAACACTGTTTTTCAAGTGGCTAATTTAGATTTCCCAAAACGTAAAGATTTATCTGCCCATATACGCGATACCTTGGTGGATGGAGAAATGATTTTAGATATGGTGGATGGAAAATCTGTTCCACGTTACCGGTATTTAATTTGTGACATTCTCCGATTTGAAGGGCTAGAAGTGGGAAAATCTCATTTAGATCGAAGATCATTTTATATTCAAACAGAAATCATTGGTCCTCGTCGTACCAAGATTCAACAAGGAATGCTGGATGAGAACGTATCATTCAGTGTACATTGTAATTCATTCTGGGAACTTACGAAATCCAAAGAACTTTTAGAAGGAAAAATTACCAACGAAATCAGTCATGAAGTAGATGGACTTATTTTCCAGCCGGTATCCGAGCCTTACAGACCTGGTCGCTGTGGTGATTTTTTAAAATGGAAACCCCCAGAATTGAATTCAGTAGATTTTAGACTGAAGATCGTGAAGGAGAATAAAGTTGGATGTTTGCCAGAAACAAAGGGGCATTTATTTGTTAATGGTCTGGAATCAGCCTTCGGAGAAATCAAGGTGGGTTAATTTTGAAGGGATTCAAAGGAAGTTTCATGCAATTCCCGTCAGGTGAACATCTGGTCACAATAATGAGAGAGAGACCCGACCGAACTATAACTATATACGGGCGTGATGGGTCCAGAGTTATGTCATTTAAACAGGCGTGATAGGGTCCAGAACTAGTCATTTAGTACAGGCGTGATGGAGTCCAGAGCTAGACGTTTAAAACAGACGTGACGGGGCCCAGAGCTAGTCATTTAAACAGGCGTGATGGGGTCCAGAGCTAGTCATTTAATACAGGCGTGATGGGGTCCAGAGCTAGACGCTTAAAACAGACGTGACGGGGTCCAGAGCTAGTCATTGAAAATTGGCGTGACGGATCCGTATCTAGCCAAACATTACCAATGAGACCGAAACTATACATATGGCGCTCTCAATAGTCACACAAAGTCTAGTCAGAAAAGATTCAGAGAAAATCAGCGCCAAAAATCTTGACTAAAACATATCGCTGAATTTACTTTTACAATTTTTGGCCACTTATAATTTAAGTTTCTCAATCAGGCTATATTGTCCGATATAAAAAAGGTTGCAGAGAAAAACCTACGAGAAAATCACGAAATAGTAAGGATCCATAATGGGAGAGGGGTAACGTAATCGATCAGAGTCCTGTAAGGGGTAATAGAAAGAACAAGGTTGAAAATCCCTAAGTTAGTGTTTCATCCATCCGGCTTTATTGGGATCAAGTTCGCCGTAAATTGTTACTATTTTTAATTTTAAATTATTCCATTCTTATTTAAAACTGTATTATATCTTACAGATGACTAAAGAACTACGTCAGTTAGACAATAAAATAATAGAGTGCATGTGGGATGGGAAGTACTGGAAATACATGCGACAAAGAACTGACAAGTCCTTTCCTAATAATTTAGAGACAGCTGAAGAAGTTTGTAAAAGTATAAGAAATCCTGTAACACAGGAGATGCTCTTACAAACCATCAGAAATGAAAGATGGATACCAAGTACTGGTGATGATGATATAAAGCCAACTCCACCACCAAACATATCAGGACATTAAATATTGCTTTAAAATATTTGAAAGAGACAAAATTATATTCCATGTAGTCTACTAATACTAAGCAAAATAAAAAATTTCAATCTGCCAATTGCCAGAAGGACGCGTGACTAATAAATTCAGAAATTAATAGTCCGATACTCTAATATTGTTCCAATAGGGTCCAAAGCAGAGGGTGAAATGGTCCAGGGTTAGTTTTCTAATACGGTGTTACGGGGTCCAGAGCTAGTCATCTGATAAAGGGCGTGGCAGGGTCCAAAGCTAGTCGTGTTATACAGGCGCGACGTGGTCTAATGCATGTAACCTTATACAGGCGTGGCATTGTCTAGATCTAGTCATCCAATAAAGGCGTGATGGGTTCCAGGGATAGTCATCTTATGCAGACGTGACGAGGGTCACAGCAAGTCATCTAATATAAGCTTGACGGGACTCAGAGCTAGTCATCTAAAACAGACGTGATAGGGTCCAGAGCTAGTTTTCTAATACAGGGGTGGCGGGGCCCCACAGCTAGCCATCTTATACAGGCCTGACAGCTAGTCATCTTATACAGACGTGTCAGGGTCCAGAGCTAGTTTTCTAATACAGACGCGATCCAGTTTTTGTCATCCTTATACAAAAGTTACAGGGCCTAAGTCTAGTCATCTAATACAGACGTGACAGAGTCCAGGGCTAGCCATCTAATACAGGAGAGACGGAGCCCCACAGCTAGCCATCTGATACGGGGCCCAGAGCTAGTCAGTTAATACCGATATGACAGTGTTCAGAGCAAGTCATCTGAGTCAGACGTGACGGGGTCCGGAGCTAATCATCTAATACAGGTGTGACGAGATTGTTCATTGGATAAATAATTGACCTTTAGTCCACAAAGGGGATTATTAGTAATTAATGATGAGAATGTAGTGTTTTGAAAGCAATGGTTAGATGTGATAAACATCGTACACTGTTTCTCTAGGAAGATGCTGTTCAGTGAGTTATGATTTGATGGCTGTCCATGTCTTATCATGACTATAACAAAATCATCTGCAGTTGTGTCAATGGGTCGATTACGATGTGGCACAGTCTTGGTAAGAGAATAGGGCGATTTGACAATCATCCGATTTGCCTGACAAGAAAAGATAACTCTTTCTGAGAGTTAAACGGAAGTTGAAACTACTGTGTTCAAAATTAGAAAGTATTGCGAAAATCTGTTCTATTTTGTAAGCAAAACTATCCAGATTTAGAAGACTTGAACGATATCTTAATCTGAATGGTAAAGACTAAAGCCATTTATTTCAATAACACAAATGTAGCCAATATTTTTCCATATTGAATTGGAACATCACCCCTTCTCCATTTCAACGGGAACATGTCATCTCTTGAGTCTGTCTTCTTAGTCTTAAGACTTGAGTTCTCTCCTCACTTAGATAAGAGTGCATGTGTCTCCTCCCTCTCCCCAGTCACTAACAGTAACACTGCTTAAGCTTGACTGAAACATCTGCCTGTATTCCAGCCTCTGATAGCTATTTTGAAAGTTGTTGGCTGGTGTCGAGACCCAAAACTAGGCCCTGTTTTATAAGGATTCTCAGCACCGCCTAAGGTGCAGGGGTTTTAAACCTATTTATTGAAATCGAATTGTCAAACCAGAACGAAACTCATATATATTTAGAAAGAAAGATACCATCATAATACCCCTACATCATTTATGTCACATCAAATGTACCGCATCTTTTGAGATGTGGAAATCCCCATAAAACACAAGGTTTGTTTTTTATGACTCTTCGCCGGCCGATAACTGTCAAAATATCTATCAGAGCCTGTATTTTATAAGATTTGATAACTTTGGATGCAGGACATCTCAAACTATCTTTCAAAGACAACTAGAACCGCTTTTTTCATGACTCAGACTAATAATTGTGAAATGAAAGAAGAAAATCAATTTGTTCAAAGCTATTACGACTTTGTCTTTTTCTCCAGGTTTAAATTTGGTTTACTAGAAAATATTCAGTACTGTATGAAGATGTGTTGATTTGTTTAATTAAGCCTGACCTCAAAACACAGAATGAGTAAGAAGGAAAGATGGGAGAAGATTCCTCCAAGATGGTTACATTGCCCACGAAAGGGTCAAGTCATCGAGGATACGTTTATCCCATTTAAAACTCCTCTAGATGACAAATACAAAGACCAGATACCTGATGAATGCCTATTTGATGTGGATATGTTATTTGCCTCCGTCAAACTTTATAAAAAGAAGCTGGGACTCTTTGTAGATTTAACCAACACAAATCGATTTTATGAGAGTAAAAAAGTGGAAGAATTGGAATGTAAATTTGTGAAATTGTGTTGTAAAGGACGTGTGGAAACACCCACAAAGGAACAAACAGAGGCGTTTATAAATTTATGTGCTCGTTTTAAAAACCAAAAGCCATTAGAACTAATAGGTGTCCATTGTACACATGGTTTTAACAGGACTGGCTTTCTAATTGTAGCTTATTTAGTGGAACGATTTGACTGGAGTGTTGAAGCTGCAGTGAGAGCTTTCGCTGAGATAAGACCCCCTGGAATTTATAAACAAGAATATTTAGACGAACTTTTTGGACGCTATGGTGATATTGATGACACGCCTGCAGCACCAGCACTTCCCGATTGGTGCACGGAAGCCGACGACAGTGTGGATGATGATGGGAATTCCATGAATGATGGGAATTCCAGTCAGGGACCTAAAAATGGATCTACTGGAAAATTTCGGAAAGAATTTGTAAAGAAAGATGCCAAATTTATGGAAGGGGTAGCTGGAGTTAATATAGTCACTTCCCAACCCAAATTAAGTCAAATTCAACGGAAGTGTCAAGAAATGGCTGGTTGGAAGAAAAATGGATTCCCAGGTTCGCAACCTGTTTCCATGGACATTCAAAACCTAAATTTTCTTCGTCAAAAACCTTATAAAGTGAGTTGGAAAGCTGACGGGACACGGTATATGACATTAATTGATGGGAGGGGCGAAGTATACATGATTGACAGAGACAATGCTGTTTTCCAAGTGGCTAATTTAGATTTCCCAAAACGTAAAGATTTATCTGCCCATATACGCGATACCTTCGTAGATGGAGAAATGATTTTAGATATGGTGGATGGAAAATCTGTTCCACGTTATCTTATTTATGATATTCTCCGATTTGAAGGGCAGGAAGTGGGAAAAACTGATTTTGATCGAAGATTATTGTGTATCCAAAAAGAAATCATTGGTCCTCGCCATGCCAAGATTCAACAAGGAATGCTGGATAAGAACATAGAATCCTTCAGTGTACGTAGTAAACCATTCTGGGATGTTACAATTTCCCAAAAACTTCTAGAGGGAAAATTTTCCAAAGAGGTTAGTCATGAAGTTGATGGACTTATTTTTCAGCCAGCCTCAGATCCTTACAAGGCTGGTCGTTGTGATGATGTTTTAAAATGGAAACCTCCAGAATTGAATTCAGTAGATTTTAGACTGAAGATCGTGAAGGAGAATAAAGTTGGATGTTTGCCAGAAACAAAGGGGTATTTATTTGTTGGTGGTCTGGAACCAGCCTTTGGAGAAATCAAGGTGGGTGATGAAGGCTTTCATGTATTTTCTTTTTTCCTTTGGACAATTAACCTAAAGGTATAACCCTTGGGCCTCAGAGGTCCAGCAATATATTTGATAATGATTTGCATATTTTTGTTGTTAAACGCTGACAGGCCAGGTCCCTTGCTTTTTTTACATAATAGCATTTTGTAAATACCGGTATATATTTTTGGGTCATGCTCCCAAAACAGCCATGTTATATATTCTATTTCCTAGACATTATCCTGAATCATGTATATTTTCATTCCAATTTAGATTCTCAAATCACAACTCCAAAAAAACCAGCACACATCATATTATTTAAGTGTCCGAGACAGACATGTTGGTCTTACTTGCACAAAAGGCTAGTTGGAAGGGCCTGTTTCATTCAGAAATTACTGTATATAGATTAAGCATAATTGCGAAACTTTGTAATCTTCAGAACTGCATGAAAATCACATAATCTCTTCAAATAGAACCTTTCCTCAAACTTTTACTGATAAGCTTAGCTAAAAAAATTCAATTTATTTTTTTAGACTAAAGTTTGGTACGAAACCTATCCCTCGTAAACTTTTAATTCCTTTTTTTTTTCAGGTGAATAAAGAACTACGTCAGTTAGACAATAAAATAATAGAGTGTATGTGGGATGGGAAGTACTGGAAATACATGCGACAAAGAACTGACAAGTCCTTCCCTAACAGTTTTAATACAGCTAAAGGTGTTTGTGGAAGTATAAGAAATCCTGTAACAAAGGAAATTCTCTTCCAAACTATCAACAATGAGAGATGGATGCCAAACGCTCACAGACAGAAACGACCTGGTGATAATAACTTAATGCCACCCCCACCATCAAAAATATCCAGACATTAAATATCATCTGAAATTGCCCAAACTTGGCTGCCCATTTTTACTTGAATCAGAGTGATAAATGCAATCACGAACATCAGAATTTCACACAATCTGGCCTCAGGGCCACAAAACATCTCTATTGCTCATCTGAGTTTTTACTCAAATTTATAATGCCCCTTGCATCAAAAAAAGTTAACATTTTAAAGTAATGTGATAATGCCAGAAACATTGTGCAATAAGGATTGATATATTTTCGTCTTTGATACAATCAGTAATTCATTTGTAATAGCTGCTTCAAATTTGAGTAAAATCTCAGCTAGGTATGACCCAGGGGTCTGATTAAAATGTGGATGCTTTCCCCTGATCTGTCTCAGTGGAGGAATCAAAGAATGAAACATACAGATCAATGTTTTCATCCGATTGAGTGAAAAATCCTAATATAATTTTCAGGCCCTTACTAACATACTACTCTACTGCTATATCACTGTTTATTATCACTGCCAAAAAAATTCAGCGCAGCGTAGTTTTAGTAATAACTTCAAAGATCCATGCCAAGGATCAAGAAGTAGACAGGATCATTGAGAACTTGTATGTCTGTGCTGGGTATTGAAAATGTTTGTCTCCCATATAGTGTAGGTGAAGTAAAGTGGCCAAGTGGTCCACGGTATTAAAGATGGGTTCCCTTATTTTCATTTATGAAAATGAAAATGCTAATACTTGTATGAATATAAAGAAGAGGTGTTCTGTTCTAATGATGGAGAAAAATATCAGTTTGTCTCACTTGGCCATAATTAATTCACAATTAGCTATATTAGAAGAGAATCACAAGCAGAATTCTAATGAGTGACCTATCAAGAAAGGTCAAAAAGTCTTTTTTTGTTTATCCAGACTGTACATACTTGAGTGGTTAAAACTCTTAATTATATGCAATAAGAACATAATGATATGATTGAGAATACATGATAATTTATTAGAAACACCAATTAATCAAATAGTTTGCATAATTTGACACTAAATATAAGGAAACCCATCTGTAAAATAATGCTATGTTCTTTGAATGATGTCTATTTTATGCACAACATCAATATGGCCTATGGCTCATGTTTCTCAAGCACTGGTAGCATATGTTGTTTAAATCCTTGTAAGACATTTTGAAGGATCACAGCACATTAAGAGACAACAGTTTTATGGATATAAACTTCTTTGTATTATTTAAACACAACGTTTCATTACACATACAGGTAACGTTATCAAGTGAATGTGAGAAGGTTACCTGTATGTGTAATGAAACGTTTAGGAACAAGATGACCACTGTACTTGGTCCTAAAAAGCTGGTTAACCTCCCCACCTCAATGTCGGTTTATACAGCCATATAGAAATATTATTGACCATTTGATCTGTTTGTATATTGTTTTGGAGTGAATATTAACATAATTATATAGATAAATAATAGAATAATGTACTGCTTGTTTTTATATACTCTTAGTTTATATGTTGGTAAGCGCCCAGGTTCAGTTCATCCACTATCTCTGTTAGCCATTATTAATTGCATTAAAGATGGACAGCTGCATATTTTATGGCCTCAGACTGATATAGGGGGTCAGAATATAATGCTTGTTAGAGTCAAAGATATCCTAGGAAAGTTCTTGTTCAAGGCATTCCCTAATCAGCAGGCATGAATATCTTTATAGGCCAAAACTCTGTTCACATGTTCTAACCACCAGGGACAGGTTAAGAGTTATACATTAAAGCTTAAGGCTACACATTGCTTTTGTAATAATTTAATACATCACCAACACAGTAACCTGGTACAAACATACAAACTTCAATACATGCTATTCAACTCACTGCTTGGTTGTCCAAAGACATAAATCCTAAATTATTGTGCGGTCTCAAGGGCTGGACATGGAACCTTTGCCTGATTATATCATATGATTTGAATGTAAAAACTCCAATGTTCAGCAGAGATTTTTCAGATTGTCACATGAAATGGAGATCGACAGAAATATATTCATTTGATTCTGATAGCAAAGTAATAAAACCAATAAAAGGAGTGTCCCATTTCTTCACTGTTCCAACTCTCCCCTAAAGTTTAGAACCTAAACTCATTAACTCCAGAGAATGTTCCACTGAGGCGTTGTAAGCAAAATCCAACGTGTACGCCATGAATGGTGCAACTTTGGTAGCCATCTTGTTCATAAAATCAGGGAGGATGTTCTTTCTTCTGAGAAAAAAACTGAAAAGTACGAGAGATTTAAATTAATAAACAAAACTGGGCTTAGATTAAATTCTAGACTGTGGAAGTATAGTCCAATGAAACTCTACAATCTACATACAAGATCAAAACTAGCTCCAAGGCACATACACATAATTCAATTGACTTTTAAATAAAAACATTGAAGTCTGTCATTTAATGGGACAGGTAGGCTTTTTTTTGACCAATCATACTTTAGTCTCATTACAATGTGAGCGTATAAAAAACTATACCTTTGAAACTGCTCCTAACGCCAAACCAAATTTTTCAAGCTTCAGAAGATGTTGGCTTATCCAGTTGGGTAATTTAGAAACAACGTTATTTCTGTTGTACCGTCTGTCAACCAATAAGATTGTAGCATAGTCTCCGCGATGTCTTATAGCTCGGCCAATCGACTGGTTCACTGCCTTCATACACAGATTCTCATAATGTATCTGACCAGGTTGTCTCCCTTCACTGTCTTTAGGCTGAAATATAAAGTGGTAGATTATAACATGACGGTGCAAGGTGGCAAAAATTCTTCACTTGTCGATATTATGGAATTTTCAAAGAGAAATAACATACTTATAAAAAAATTGATCACTAGTCTTTTTGTGACATGGGACCCAGGTGTTTCAAAAGGGTGAGCATGTCCTGTATCACTAACAATACTTCCCCCAGTACTGATTGTAGAATTGGATCAACAAATTTTAAGCTAATAATCTTATTAATAAACCATACATTATACAGAATTATCTCCCTTTGACTGTCAAACTCTTTCCTAAGAATTTCCTACTCAAGTTCCTGCTGCTTGTACAATAAATCAAATCAAACTTAAATGAGTCCCAAGATTTATCAACAATCAGAATCATCCAATTTGAACCGATCTAACTACCAACAACTACATAGTTTGTGATATCAGCATCCACTGGAAGCGAATGTTAATTTGTCATCTACCAACAAACCTAATAAAGCTTTTTTCCACGTTCAATTTGTCTGGGAGGACCATGACTTGAATCAAGCCACACTAGTTCACAAAAAATAGCTTGCTGGGCAAAGTAATATATGCCCACATGCAGCTTTGATTTTGAATAAAAATATTTAGCAGTACAGTAACAATCACGAGTATGAAATATTCAACCTTCAATCATACACTTCTTTTGAACTCTTAGGGCGATACTGAATAATATTGAGTGTAAGTTATTGCCCTTATTCTTGAAAACATGTTCAATTTTTAGCTCGTGAACACTCTAGAAGGCAAATATTCAATCTTCAGCACGGGAATGCATAATAAAACCAATTATTGTCAAAATCCAGCAACAATCATGACTTTTAGTGTTTTAGAGCTAAATTTGAAAGCGTTTTCAAGAACAAGGACAATAACTCATACTAAATATTTTACGATTCTTCTGATTTTCAATAGGGTTCATCCTTGAGTGATTACGAACATTCATACCAAGGTTTGTCAAAATCCGTCAAGAATTGTGTCTTGTAGAGTGTTTACGAGTAATTGTGGACAGATGGACGGACATGGGTGACGGCAATATACGCCCCCCCCCTTTCATGTGGGCGTATAAAAAATCATAATAAAAATTTCTTCTAGCTCGATTCACTATGAATACTTACATAATTGGCATTCAAGTAATCCATTTTTTCCTTCAATTCAGGAGATTTCAAATTTGGATACGGCAATCCAACCATTACGACGCATCTAAAATTTAATGGAGTTTTACATCCCACAATCAAGCACCTTATTAGGCATATGAAATGAATGACATGCTACTTTTCTGCATTTAGTGAATTGTTTTCAGCAATAACATCTTTGCCGGTCATGTCTGATTGAGGATCCAAAATGTTAATACTTTTTTCATGCAATTTTTATCAAATTAAATCATAGTATTATTTACTTACACTTGTGGGTGGCAATTTTGAATACTTAAATGTAGCTTTGAAAGTATTTTAGGCTACATTCCTGCCTCAGACCTGGCTTTTATGCCACTCACTTGAAAAGAAAAAGCAGTTGGTGCTCGGAGAGTTCAAATTCTTACCTTCCTAAATCATCTGAGAAGTTGATTCCTTCACTCATCTTCCCTCCCACTACACATAATAAAATAGCCCCCGTCTGGGGTTGGGTAGTACCAAACGATTTACATCTCTAAAATAATAAAAGCTCATACCAATATTCCATATAGTCTATATAGATATTAGATACTTGATATTGTTATTGTTCTGTATTATGCATATTTGATTTTATGGTCCAGATATTGCTAGTATTGTTTACAGTATGAATTTTTTTCAGATTTACTCGAGGGTAAGAAGGATGTACATTATATTCACAATTATATATAGATGGGAGAGGGTGAAAACACATACAGAGTCTTTGATAACGTAGTTTGTTATGGCTGAACAGCAGTTTCAAAACATCTCGCTATTCTAAGGACTCAAATACCAATGTTCAAATGTATTCACCTATATTCATCAATTTTCCATTTCTGCAGAAGTTTAGAGGAGTTTCGGAATCTGATTAAGTATATTAATTCATTTGGTGAAATGGCATATATTAGTTTATTCCTTGACAAAATATGCAAAGTTTGCACATCAATAAAAGTTTCACCAAACATGAGGTTACCTTGATGACTGTAGAATATTGAGATAGAATATGTTCTACACCTCCAGATTTTCTTGGTTCCCTTAAAACCTGTAATATATTACAATACATAGTAGTGCTGACACAATAGGCTTACTGGTAATTGTTGAATTGTTACATCGCTATACGACATACCATGATATGCAGATCATATTGCATGGTAATATACAGATACTTGACAATACCAGGCATTTCATCAACTATTTATACTCATGTAACTAAATGTCATGAACGTTCTCATGAGATGTGTAGCGTTGCATGAACACAATACCAAGCACTAAAATATGGCACTACCAACATATTGACTGCATATCAACCATTAGCAAGAATTTAGGGAGGGGCTCTGTCCCTAGAACCATTAGTTGTGTGGACTCTCTGAAAAAATGCAAAACTGACAACCCCAGCTGTACAAAGGCATCAGACAAGTCTGACTATGGGTCCTTAATATACTTATTTCACAAATTAGGTATGTGAACTCTCTGAAAGAGACACGGACACCTGCATGGGTAATAAATCTACCACATCGATTGTAAAGATGTTTTCTAAATTATTTGTATCGGGGACACTGATGGCATCAATTTGCACCATTCAAATTTGCAATCGGACGTCTGTGGTTCCTGCACAACTAGGTAAACTCTCCAAAATGCCAGATATGACACACCAAGTTACAGTGTGGCAACTTTTGACTCACCTTTTTCTTCTTTGAAATGCGATCAATGAGTCCAGTTTTTTGCCAGTGGTTGAATACAAGTGACTCGTAGTCGTAGCTTGGGAAGAAACAGACTATACCACCTGGTACAATGTTACTGATGTTGACTAGAATACGACCCAGTTCATCAAGCTGAAAATAGAAATAAAGTGTAGGTTTATGTCCTTTCCACTCCAGTTTAGGCAATGTGCAATCATGGAAATTTTCAAGTACAGGGGCATTAAAGGCTACTTTTCTTTTCTTTTTTTTCATTATTTTAGATAAAAATTCAAATTTAAAGTATATACATGTATAAGTTAACACCAATTTTTAAAGGGACAGGTGGGCAATTTTTTTGACCAATCATACTTAAGTCTCAGAAAATGGAATTTTTTAGCTGAGCTAATCAGTAATAGTGGTCACAGCTGGCCGTCAAAATTTGAACCTTCAAATCTATATGTGTCCAGAATTATCTGCTTTTGAATGTTAAAATGAGGACTCGTCAATTTAAGATACTCTTATGATATATAGAAAAGACATATATAGAAATGGTGAGTAAAATTTCTGGTTTGAAGTATTTTCAAAAGAGTTCTGTGATTTTCATACATTTATAGTACTATTTAAGACTATAGTAAGACTATTTACATAAGTATTTTCAAGGCTAAAATCAACTCCCAAAAATTGCACACCTGTCCCTTTAATCTTCTTGGGTTCATGTAGGGTACAATAAGGGAAAATGACACAGCAGTCTTATTTTTAACCTCTAATTGAGCTAATAGTATTAACCACAACAGCAAATTAGCTTACAAATTCCCTTACAGAGTGAAGTAAACCTTGTTATTTATATCACTAAAGTTAAAGTCATATTGATTAGAAAGAAACGTGTTGGGCAATGAGGATATATCAAGTCATGCTTTCGGCCGTGTGATCTAATCTGTTAACAACTGGTCTAGAACAAGCCATACATCTATCATACCAAACTATTCACAAAATCACATTGTACAGCATGTGACTGACTGACACCATTTACTCTTCACATGTTGAAACCTGCTGGTGTATTTATTCTTTACAAATGTCTAGATTTATGCATGTATAGGTCAGAGTTTCACGATACGTAATCTCCTGACTTATTTTCTACAGAAGTAGAACAATTTTTTTTGGTTTTAATATTTCTCCATCACTCTACTATTGATGTATTGAGCACTATTTTAACAGTGGTATTTCTATATAGCTCTACAATTGATATATTGAGCACTATTTTAACAGTGGTATTTCTATATAGCTCTACAATTGATGTATTGAGCACTATTTTAACAGTGGTATTTCTATATCACTCTACAATTGATGTATTGAGCACTATTTTAACAATGAAAATATTCTATTATACTGTATGTATAGGTGATATAGGGAAATAGGATTAACATATCTAAAGTATGGAATATCGGATAATGGAATTTTACATCCTACTTTACAGCACCAGAATGATTTAATTAACAAAAGCAACATTTTTATTAAAATTTAATTAATGTAAATCTAGACATGACTGAACAAGCCACCTATGATCTGACAAAATTGCTATGCATATCATGTTCTGGGACATATGATTTTCAACCAATCAAATGCTTTATTCAATAAAAGTCTCATAACTCGGCATAACTGGTATCAAATGAAACATTTGGTAGAACTTACATAAGCCTTTACTTTGTTGGCCTTTCTTTAACTTAAAGGCTTGTTGAACAATGTAATGGAACTCATTTAATAAATCATCATACCATGATTTAATATTTATCTAGTATTTAGGGCCTAGATCATAACAAGATCATCTTTGACATACACTTTTCATAGCTTAAAAGCTTGTTAAACAACGTTGCAGAACTCATTCCATAAACACAATTTGAATCTCATAAGTCTACAGTAAGTTCAGCTTTTAATGGACTCCTCCAGTCAGTATAAACTTATAAATCCTAGTCAATAATAACTAGAATAGACTAGTCCTATTATTGGCTCATTCTATGTAAATATACCAGTAGTAAATAAACTGGTCTGTTATTGTGGTTCAACCGAAGTCATGACCTAAACCACAGAAATAATTATTCTGTTTACCAATAAACAACTATGTTTTGTATTTGTTTGTTTTTCACTCTTTGTTGTTTGTACTTTAATTTGGAAACAAACAATCTTATATCATTGTTTTTTTCTCCGATCGAAGAATACTTGGGCAAAGATATCAATACTCTCTGACTACAATGTTTGCAATCATTTTCACATGAACTGAAATATCAATTACAAAATACTACTGAGAGGTTTTGATTGTCTATGGGTTGATAAAAATGTCAACCACTGGAAAAGTTATTTTTTGTAAACATGATTTTACAGAGGAGAATTTTCATCCAAAAATACTCTTCACATGAATTTTCTGGGAGGGAAGTGTGTCTATTTCACATGTAAAATCACTGAACCTAATATTTCTATGGAACCAAAGACATTCTAAGACAAATGGAAACAGTTGAAAATTTTATTTTGAATATTTATGAAATGAGAGAAAAAATTCAATTCAAAGCTCAACGTAGTCAGACAGTATACATTCTGATTCAAAACAAATACAAAAATATTTACTTCATTTAAAATGAAATGATAAAGTTTTACGTCCTACTTTTCTGCAGAAGGACAACACAATGCAGTGTACAATGAGGGAAATTTCGCCAGGACATCGGCGTTAGCCTTCTTTTTTTTAAATTCCAACTGTCTTTAATGTGCACAGTCTGCAGCTAGTTCATTTGAAGGCAGTGTAAGTAAAATATCAGTCATATTCACTAAATCAAAATGATTATCACTATTATAAAAGTTGTTCATTATTTATTAACAGCTTTTGCTACAGACAACATTCATCCGGTACCGTCTTTGTGTTTAAAACTATATACTTCGTTTATTCCACCCTTGTTTATATCTTACAGATCTCTTTATTTGTGACCTTGGCCAGTGCTTTACATAGGAGTTTTTAGGATCTTCTTCACTCTCATGTTCCAAAACATTTATAGTGTTGGATTATTTTTTATATTTTGTTATTGTCAGTTTATCACCTAGTCGTCCTTTGTGATTGTATATATGTATTGTTAATTGGTATTTGATGATGTTAATTTGTATCATGTGATAATACTTGTTACTCTATGTATTGCCTTTGACAAGAAATGGTGCAAAATGATGCAAATAAAGATTATTATTATTATAAGAAATACACACAGTCACTAGTGTTAAATATCTAGATATTGTAGGTTGATTTTTTTAAATGTTACTGTTATATTATTATGTATATTAAAACACTATCATGTTGATGTACATTATGTTTTATAGATATTTTCCATAGCCCAGCAAAGATAAGTAATTAAATAGTTGATCATTATTCAGTTACAATACCCACATACATCTGGTGGAAAATTGAAATGATACAAATAGAAGCCATAATAGCCCTTCAACACATAATGATGTCAGCCCCTCTAACCTGTATCACTGACATGGGATAAAAGGGGAGCGTTCTAAAGCCAATCCTCCTATTATTTAAGCATTTTGTATCCATAGGTACTTGTTTTTATTTCCACTCTATGGAGAATAATCTCTATAGAATCTAACTCTAAAGGAGAAATAGAAACAAGTGCCTGTGGTTATAGAACCAGAAAGTTCTACAATAATCTTCAAATCAAGAAACTTGACAATCTTGAGCTTAAAAAATGGTTCATTGTTCTTATAGAAGCTGTGACATTTCCAAGAGAACTTATAAGAAAAATTCACATTTGATTGAAACTGTGTAATCATGTCACGATGGAAGAATCCATTCTATTACCATACCCCTAGCCGTTATAATGAGACAGTCTATAGACCTAATAACCGAGAAAAAGCTACTAGGATATACCAGTGTACTAACTTATTTGAGGTATGAGGATGTAGGATGAAATATTTTGATAGATTGACCTGAATAATGTAAATGAGATGAGGTCACTGTCTGGGGTAGAAACTGTACTGGAAAGACCTAAATCACCTTCCTTAATCTTGACTTCATTTTTTTTCTGATGTAACCTTGTTGTTAACAACAAAAATTCCTCAACACAGTTGGCTTCTGTCTTTTTGTGAAATTAAAGGGATTGTAAAGAGGTTTTTTAGTTTTTTTTTTTATGTGTATCAGGGCCTTTATGATTACTATTTGCATCATGCCAATGTTTTTCTCAGATATCTGTGGTTCTTGATATATAAATGCTTAATCATATATGACTTCACTTTTGCAAAAGCTAATACCAGTAATTGCAGCTTCTACAATTGTAATATTATAAACACTTACTAAGTTGTGATGAAACTTCAAGACCCTGAGGCATCTTACTGAAATTGCACAAATTGATGCTATCAGTTTACAAAACCTCGATACAATCCCTGTAAATAATATCTCCACAAACAAAACTGAGTATGGAACTACTGTGGTTTCTCAACTGCATTTTGCCAAATATTTTAATACAGATTAATCCAAAATAGAAATTGACTTTGACTTTGAGTTGTTGAAGAGAAATCCTTGATACAATTAATGTCACAGAGACAACTTTTGTATTGATACAAATGTTTACTAGCAATCCCCCAAAACCCTGAGGGTACCATCTGTTGGCCGGTAATGCTAGAAGAAGGGCAGAGGACGATTGTAAAGCCCATTTAAGATCAATATGTTTTAATTTTTTAATTTTTTCAACCATGTACTCTCTCCTCTTTCAATTTAGGTTGAAAAAATCAATAATCAATCCCAATAGCTTAGAGTCGACAGAAAAATACACGTTTCTCATAAAAAATATGATTTAATTTTATTCGCAGATTATACTAATAAAATTTCATTTAGGACAATCAAAAAGAAACAAGAATGTATTGCAAAGGTCATCCAGACTCACAAATTGCGATGCAATACTGCTTATATTAAACTCTGTCCCATTTTCAGTTGATGGTATTACTTGCGGGGGTATCAAGAAAGTAGTCACTATTCAGCCACCCTACAAAAGGGAAAGACTCTTTAAGAGAAATATTTTTAATATGTGTCGTGTTTACACAACCTTAGAATAGTACAGGACAAAACTATGAAACAAGTCCAACTTGACCTTGTGGCCAGACAACCTCTTTATCACAAT